GGAGCCCAATAGATTCTCTGAAACTCTCCTCTCATTGCATCCACCTGGCACAGTCTGTGTTTTTCACAGTTGTGAATGCTATTAAAAGATTTGCTAGAACCTGTGAAAATCAGATGTATTAATATCTATATAGATGGAGAACTAGAGGCTTTATTAAAAGTTCAAGTGGTTGCTTCTGGGTCTTCATTTAGAAAGAAAACTAACGATTAATGAAACAACACAATTGTCAATATTTCTGCGGCCTTTAATTCCAATTAGTTAAAGTACATCTGTTAAATAGATTAACATACAATATTCCATTTATAAAGGTTAGAATTCATATAGCAGTGATGACATGGGATATATATATATATAAGTAATTACATATCCAACAACATACAATATGCATTTTACCTTGGGGTTGTGGCGTTTTAACATAAAACAAACTCAATGGAAGCACCTGTGCTTCTCCCTAAAATTGCATACATTTGTTCCATCTACATTGCCCCTGAAGTTAAAAGAGGGGGAAGTTACATATTTTAATGACTTTAAGAATAAAATCATTATGTCAGCTTCATTTTTGTGTGTCTTCTGCCTCTATAAGAGTGTACTCTATAAGAGTAGGAATTTTCCTTCCTGCTTGCCAGCATGTACTGTCATATGACAGATGTTCAAAGAAAATAAACAATTCATGGATGCAAATGAAAGATGGCTGGCTTGGTGGCGAAAGATAGGAATTCTAGTCTGCAAGTTTCAATGCAATTTGACAATCAAGTCATTTGTCAAATTATATGAACTCCTCTCTTGGCAAGACCTCAGTCTCTTGGTGTCGGATACATTCTTCACCAGTGAGCTGCTAGGTTTGGAACTGTTGAAGTCTTTGAGTTTTCAGGTCCATCACACTCTAACAGAACACATGGAAGCGTGCTCTAACTGAGCCACATAGTCATAGCCTTGGGAAAAAAATTTAGAAATCCTTTCGTTGATCCTTTTCCCTAACTTCTAAGAAACAATGACTTCTAAACAACTCTTGTAGTAAGTCTTTTGCTTGAGGATCTCCAGGGAAAGAGAAATCAGTACCTGGAAACAATCAATTTGGGGGCAGAATGTGCATTTGGGTCTGAAGCCAGAGAAGGGACTTCTTTTTTCTCAGCTCTTTCTTCTGGGTATAACTCAAAGAAGTCTAATTGCCTCTACCTTGCCCCATGGATATTTGAAAATATCTCTATCTTCACTGAATGGCCCCTCTAACCATTAAATTGAATAATAGTTTCCTAGAGTAGACAATGGGATGAAGTAGGTTTGTGGTTCCAGAAGACAGAATCTGAGCTCTGGGTCTGTCAGGGTGAGGTTCTGGACAAATGACTTCTATCTAGGCTGGTGCCTTTGTTTCCTCTTAAAATCGGGTGATAGAGGAAGGGTGGGGTGTTTTAGAGCTTGGGAAGGTGTAACCATAGGTGTCAGAGTGGAACAAGATAGGAATGTGATTTCTTTAACCTATATCCTTAAGTACTGGGAAAAGATTTGAGGATCAAAAATAATTCACTGAAATTTCCAAAGACTTTAACACTATTAATATTCAGGATAATGTTATGCTTAAAGAGACCCCTACTGAAAATGGAAAAAAAAACATTCCCAGAACTCTAGGCCCTAAACAAGCAGGAAATTTTGAGGCAAGAGACAGCTTTTTGTATTTTGGAAGGCAAAGCTATGACTAGATTCTTAAAAATTAACCATGGACACATGATTGAGAAAGAATTTGAGAAAATACCTTGCAATAAATTGCTAGCAATGGCCAACAGCCAGTTGAACTTTATAATCCTGACGAGTATTTATAAGCATAAAGCTAGAATTTTCTCTGGGGTGGCATAACTTAGACTGAAATACAGCCAAGGGTTCTGGCATTAGAACTAAAACAGGTCCTGTTTTAAAACTAAACATAGTGCATTTCAGGATATGAAAAGGTACATGTTTTAGTTTTCCTAGTGTACCTTAGTGAAGAAAAAGAAATAAATTTTAGTGGCTTAGCAATTCTCTTTTGCAAAGAGACCTAAAGTATATGAAGGTAAAAGTTCTGGTGAGCCATTAATTTTGGTCATGGAATGTAGACTTTTCAAGGTATCTCTGGGTCATCTTTGAAGTTGAGGCCAGAAAATATGAACCTCTCTCTGTCTGCATATTGCTTGTATGATGAATGTTACTATAGGAAATAATATCTTGTTCTCAATTTCTTTGTTTAGTTATAAAAAGAAATCCAGTTAAAGTAAATACAAATCATTTCATTAGTGGTCATCCTCCATCAAATGGTACACATTTCCATAAGGAAATATCAATCTGTCTAAAGTTAGCTAATTAATTAGCTAAAACAACCAGTATAAATTAAAAACTCTGATAACATAGGTGTTTAGCAATTAGAAAGAGCACCTTGTAGGCTAAAATAATTTATTACTCTGTCTGTAGGGTAAGGAAGCATTCAGTAAATGTCTGTGGGATTGATTTAACTTAGTTATTTCTGAGATACCTAATCAATAAGGCATTTCCTCTCTAAATTAACTATTTTATAAAGCATGTTCCTTCTCTCCCAAATCCTTGAGTGATACCCCAAGATACCTTTCAGGGGATCCTCGCATATTCTTAAAACATTTTTTCCCCATCCATTTAAAAAATACTAATTTTGCCTCTAAAAAATAATGCCTTGGAAACAAAAGTTCTATTTTGAGTCCTGTTAGGAATGTTTGGCTATGCTTTTCTGAATAGTAAAGAGAATATTGTTAAGAATTGAACAAAACCAGCAGTGAAAACTTCAGCCACATCTTCAGGGTAACAGGAAATTCTTGTGTTGGATAAACATCCCAACAACCAGATCCCCTCATGGACTGGTTTGGAAGCTATCGACACACAGGCTTCCCTTTAATGGTAGAAAAGAAGCACCCATCTCCAGGCTGCTTCTGGGAAAATCCTTTCCTAGAAAGTATAAGATGCTTGATGCTCTCTTGCATTGTGGTGACTGACAGGTGCAGACAAAACCTTTGATTTTCTAACTGACTGGGATAGTAGCCTGATGGTAGTCAGACTAGTGTTGGTATCAATGCTGTTCTCAGGGGTGGTGAGGCAATGTCCTCGTGTCAAGCCTTCCTTTCTTCTGAAGCAAAGGGTAATTCCTCCTTCCAAGGTGCCCTTTCCCTGTGGTCATCTGGGAGGCCACCCACCTTCTCTCAGGCTTCACTTCCTTTATGAAGGCTCGGTGAACCAGGTGGAGGAGGCCACACCCCTTTTTCTCCCTGCTCTCAGAAGCCTGTGCTGTTTGTGGAAAGCTGAAGGGAGCAAGATGGCCCGGTGTAATTTAGCTTTAGCAGACCTTCGAAAGCCTTTCAACTGATCACCTGGAAATCAGTTTTCACTGAATTGTTATTCAACAAGTATTGACTCTATCTGTCATTATGTTCAAAGTCCACATCGTCTCTGTCTCTCTGTTTCTGTCTCTCTGTCTCTGTCTCTCTCTTTCTCTCTCTCTGCTTATAGTTTTCATGGAAACCAGTATAACACTGATCTCTAGGGGCCAAGTATACCCATCTGTGAGGCTCTCTTATGATAAGGATAATACAATCCATGGTGCTAGGGTTAACCAAACATGGCATTCCCAAATGCTCCCCTGGACGGTAGAAAGTTACTTCTTATATAGAATGTAGGAAGTTAACCCATTTCATTTCAATGAGCTCATCTGATCTTGGAAAACAAATTGGTAGATTCCTGCTTGATAAGGCAGCCAACAAGGACTGAGACAACAAAGCTGTCCCTCTCTGCCCAGCACATAGGAAAAGCACACAAGGAAAATCGTGCTACCAAGACTATTCATTCACTAAGACAGACCTTAGTATCTTCCTTAAAGAGCCCTTGGCTAGGATGATTAGCTAATCCCATAGTTAAATCCTTTTGAATATTTTAAGGGACAAATAACCAGACAATAATGTGAATTTAAAGTTGCAAATCAACCCTCAAAGCAGACCCAGATAAATGTCTCTGAATCAGATGATTGATATCTTTGTTTTCTTCCTAGAGAACAAGTCTATTGTTTCTTGGCATCAGTCAAATTTGTTGTAGAGTTGGTCTAGTTTGCTAGAAATCTGTCTTCTTGAGTGGCATATTCAGATGGGTAGCTTACAAAGGGCAATGCCCAAAATAACATTTTTTGGATGATTTTTTCCTCCAGGACTCCCAGTTATCTTTGAAGTATGTTGATTGAATTTGACCAGGAGGCATCTAGTAGTATTTATCTAAGCTGTGAGTAGACTGATGTGTTCTTCATAGTGTCTTCTGGGTTAAAGAGTACCCAGGACATAACAGGCATTCAGGAACACTGCTGACAATGGTGAATATGCATTACTGCATTTTTGATATGAGTGTGTAACTCACACTTGTTTATTTTGATAGTTGTATATATAATCTAAAGAAAGGTAGCTTTTCTCATAGGCCACATATGGCATGAAAACCACTTCCTTTCGGGAGAAATTCATGAGAAATAGCAGCTCTCCTTTCATTTTCTTTTAGGATTGGCATGAAAGTATGTGGAAATACTGATAAAGTACCTGGCCTCTGATGGGCTTACTTTTTTCCCCTTGGGTTTTCTTTGGATGTTGTCCAAAGCTATTGAGCTAAAGTAAATTTGTAATCAAATTCAATCAGGACTGGACTACTGGTGACAAGTATGTAGCTGGAAAGCATAGAAATATTCTTTAAATCTTGACTGAAGTTGACCGTCTGTTCTTTTGCTGAGTAATGTCTCTGTTTAGAAACCCCAATACTCCTCCAGCAACTGCAGCATTTGCTCATTTCTCCTTTGTTTCCAATTTATATTCTCACCAGGAAGGCACACGAAAGGCAGACTTTGGGTTCCTAAATTTCATGGCTAACCTCTTGACTGTATAGAATGCTCTCTACCCTTAACTCCAAGAATTGTGTCTATAGAAAGAAAACTGAGGACAAAATGCAGGGGCCCTTTCACAATGATGTCTGCTTTGATTCTATAACAAGAAGGCGCCAAAGAAGGTTTTATCTTCTCTTGTGTAATCCACCAAAGAGAGGTCGCTGACATTCACCATCAGTTTGTCCCCTTCTTGCAAGGAGAACATGGCCCCGAGGTAGAGGGGCTGGAACCAGGTGCTACTTATTTCACACACAGACTTGGTCCCCATGAGGAGCTGGGAGGGCTCAGGGTACCTGTCTGTTACTTTGGTGATGACCACAATAATGGAATCTGGCTTATTCTGTTGTTTTCTTTGATCTATGTTACCACACTCAGAGGAGGTCCCTCGGAATGAGATCTGGGTGTAAATGAAGTAGTCTCCTGATTCTGGGACCACCAGGAATTTGTTGGTGTAGTTCATCCGGTTTTTGGTGAAGGCCAAGCCCAGCTCATGCTCCCAGTGCATAGCCTGTAACTGGTCTTTCAAGTGGTGTGTGGGAGGTTGTTTTATAACTGCAAAAATAAAAAAAGGGGTTAATTGGCTCTTAGGAGAACCTGTGAAACTTCTAACCTGTAGACCTTAATAAAGCATGTTGTATCATTAAACAAAATGAATAAACAACCAATAGCCACCCAGAGGAATGAACGAAGGATACTTGGGTGTGTATGTTGGTTCAGACAGTGACATTTGTGTAATCTACCTGGTCAAAATGATTTCACCTCTCCGAGGCCAATTTCTATGACTGAACAGTTCTGAAACTTCACTGGGCCCTTTGATTTTGGGCAAAAAACCCACAGTGAATGGAAGCCCTAAGTGATATCTGTATTCATGGTGTGTATTGTGTTACCTTTCCTGATGGAGGATCACAAGGACAGAGAGAGGGACTGTGCAAGATCAAGCAGCAGAAATCATCTCAGGCCAATCTTTAGTCTCTTTTCCTAGTCCTCTAACATCATCCTCTAAATCCAATGCAACATTTTTGTGATTAGTACATAAAACTTCCTAATACTCCCTAAGCTTCTTAGATCTCTGGCTTTTACCACTGCTAAAGCTAAGCATTTGATAACATCTGAATCCTGAATCCAATGTGAAGAATTCTTCACCTTGTGAGAGATAACATCTGACTCTTACAGCAGAGAGCTCAGTCTTTGTTGTCCACCTACAAAGTAGGTGACCCCTTACTTTCTTTCCACTATGATTGTAAAAGCTTACAGCAGGCCTCTTTGTTTGCTGGTAGCTTGAGTTTGGGTTTCTAGCAAATGGTCATTCAAGGTTTGGCTCCAGATAAGCTACCTTTTTTAAAATTCAGAGTTCGTATTTTACAAGGGCATAGTGAAGGTTCAGAAATCTATGGTCCAGAAAACAGCTTACTGCTAGTTACTGTCTTCCCTCAAATACCCGAGAGACTCTCCCAGATGTTCTCTTGTGTGCCTCGTATAAGACCTGCCAAATTCCTATTCTATTTTTTTTCTGTACTGACTATTTAGAAAAACTTGTGACTGGCTAAACTTTGACTAGGTTTCTTTGCTTCTTTCACGCTGCTCCCAGCCCCAGAAGTACACAGCCACTCCCGAGACCAGGCTGGCTTTTGGATAACATAGTCCCTGATTCAATAATGCCACTCATTTACCCTTTCCTTCTCACCTGATTATTTCTTCCTTTTCAGCCTGATTTCTTGCAAAATCTAAGACTTCATTGTCACAGCATTCTTCCAAGTACGATACAGCATCGTTCTATCCTTCATTCTATAACTACAGATTCAATCAACTGAGGAGGACCTCACATTAGGGAAAAACATGTATGCCTGTACTGAGCTGCTCCAGAGCTTTTCTTTTCATTTTCCCCTAAGGAATACACTATAACAACTATTTATACAACATTTACATTGCATTGTAACTCATCTAGCATGATTTAAACTATAAAGGAGGATGTACATAGGTTGTATGTAAATAATATGTAATTTTCTATCATATGTCCTTGACTTTGGAGTCCTGTAGGGTTCCTGGAATTATTTTCCCACAAATACAGAGTTTGTGACTCTGTAACTCCCTCTTCCTTTAGCAATAATCTATGTAATGTCTTAATGTTTGTTTTAATTTGACAGGTCTTTCCTTTAGAAAAGCAAAGTAATACTTGTGGTGAGTATAAAATCCCTAGCTATTAGGAGTATCTCCTAAACTACATTCACTTTTTTTTCTCACTTGTGGGGTTTGAATTCAAGGCCTGGGCACTGTCCTTGAGCTTTTATGCTCAAGGCTAGAGCTCTTACCATGTTGAGCCACAGCACCACTTCCCTTTTTCTGGTGGTTAATTGGAAATAAGAGTTTCATGGACATGAACAAGATCCTCAGATCTCAGCCTCCTAAGTAGCTAGGATTACAGGCATGAATCATTGAAGCTCAGCTTACATTCACATTTATGAGAAAGATAGAGAGAGAGGGGAGGGAGGGAGAGAGAGATGAAAAGAGAGAAAGAAAGAGCAGGAGAGAGACAGAGAGAAAGGGCAGGGGGAATGGAAAGATCATGGAATTTTAATGTAGTCTAAAGTCACAGGAAACAGGCAAGTAACCAATAAAGAATTACTTTGTAGGACATATTGGAACCAGAAGCCCCAAACATTTTGGCAATTCTTCTCTCACATTAGAGTCCAAATATAAGTTAGTGAAATTGACTTGTGGGACCGGAAGGAACCTGAGCTCTGGGCCACTTGGGCCCAGTACCAACAACACACTTAGCTCATTTATCAACTGTATAGGCTTTTTCCCTTCTCTGAGCCCAAGTTTCCTGTCTGTAAACTGGATTAGAACTCTTTTAGTCTTGCTCTGAAGATTCAATGAATAGAATAGACATGGTCAATTTTTATCACAATGACTGGACTCAGTTATACTCAATTTTTATTCATTTGAATACACCAGCATCTTTCATTTTGACAGCTTAAAAATAATCCTATTTCATTTTATAGTTTTCCTATGTTAAAATGCTCACATTGCCCTTAAGTCTACATTATATAGAATGTATTAATGAATGTTTTTATGGAAACTACCTACAGCAAAAGAAAAAGAAATAGAAGCAAACTTGATTCAAACTACCTATTTAACATAAGGCCATTTGCAATAGAATGCTTTTCAGGATAAATGAAAATATTTTAATTTCCCCTGACTGCCTTTGAAACCTACAGCAATCACTGTTATGAACTGATACTACAGCTCGGGGGACTGGTTATGTATAAAAAGGAAAAAAAACACCCCAAAACACTTGGCAGCCTGCATGCTCAGTGCCTCCACAAATCGAATTCCTGAGCTTTTGAAAGTATCTTTCCCACTATCAACCAGACTCTAGTTTCTTTTGAAACTAGTCCCACATGTACGTGGGATTCCTCTGGCCCTGAAAGATGACCCTAAATGCCCCTGGAAAGCTCTGATGTCTCTTTCCAGCTAAGGAATTATTATCAGCCACCTCTGATAAACTCTACCCCATTTTTTTGTGGCTACTCTAATAAGTTTTGCTTCTTCTTAGTTTCTTTGTAGATAATGAAAAAATCCATCGAGACAGGCAAGCCTCATTGCATTGATGTGCATTGCACAGCAGAGGCAGGCATCCGGATAGGAGGAAGGCTTCAATGGGAACTGAAGTTGGGAGAGGCTAGCTTACATCTGAACCCTCTGCCTCCTGGTCATCTCCCTGGGGATGTGTCAATTTAATTGTCTAAGCCACAGTTTCTCTGTCAGTAATGGAACACTCCACTCCTAATTTCACTGGATTCATGCAGACTAAATGACATAGTGGAAATCAAGGCAGGCCTACTACAGTACCTGTCTCATCTTGAGAGCTTGAAGAAGCTCTCCAGTTCTTAGATCTCTTATTCATAGAAAGTGGTGTGATAACTCCATAGGATTTTCTTGTCCAGCCTGGTTAATCCCTCATTTTATTTGTGTGTGGGGAGGGAGGGACACTGGGGGGGGGTGCGATTTGTACTAGTTCTAGGGCTTGAACTTAAGATCTCATGCTTTTCCTTTTTTTTTTTTTTTTGCCCAAAGCTGGCACTCTACAACTTGAGCTGCCTCTCCACTTTCAGCTTTTTGCTGATTAATTGGACAAAAGTGTCTCTTGGGTTTGTCTGACTGGGCTGGCTTTGAACTGCTATCTTCAGATCTCATCCTCCTGAGTAGCTAGAATTGCAGGTGTGAGTCACCCATGCTCAAACCTCCTTCTTATAAGCAAGAGAAAGTGATGTTAAGTTGGCATCTCCCTGTATTTTAATGAATTTGTTTTAGTCAAATAATAATACAAATACCTCAGACTACATCTCCCCCGCAGATCACAAATTTTCTCATACGTTATGAAAGTAAGCTTGCATTTTAACTTTCTAGTTTCTTGATGGGTTTCCTTCCTTCCTTCCTTCCGTCTGTCTTTTTGATAGTACTGGGGTTTGTAGTCACAACCTTATGCTCACTTGGCTTACTTGCTTGGTTGGTGCTCTGTCACTTAAGCCATACCTTCTGTTATCTTCAGTCAATTGTATACATATTTCTGTACTGCCTTGCTGTCTTCTGGAGTCTTAGAGATCAACAAACTCCAGATGCGAGGTACCTAGAACTTGTAAGTTAGACTTGGGGAACTAGCCAACTGGTGTCATTGTGCTTTCCCTCTCAATATAATCACATCCATAGACATTCTTTAGAAACACCTTCCTGATTACAAATATCCAGTGAGCTGTCTTGACCTGGCAGGGATAAAATGGTTAAACTCAAGGGACCAGTTGAACTGGATTATTCAAAGTTCCAAGATTTAAAAAAGTCATTCTAGATTGACTGGGTGTGTGAATACAAGAGATGGGCAGAAAAGAAAGGAAGAAGGCTGACAGAATCAGGAAGAAAGTACCAAGAGACATAGACCATTGGTGCCTTCCTAGTGGATGAAGTCATCTAAAAAAAAAAAGATCATGGATTGTGAAGGGCTGTGGTTTCCAGTTGGAAAACCCTAGTGAGAGTTTTGATTACTGCACTGAAAAATCTCCCCCAAAGATGGCCCATGGTTTCTAAGAAAACCCAGGGATGCTTACCTGTCAGGTGTGCCCTGGGCTTGCCTCCGTCCGCTCTGGGTGGCGGCATGTCTGAAACCAAAGGAGAAATGCACTTTGTATGAGTGAAGGGGCGATGGGAGTGAAGACAGCATTCTGGGAGTTGGATGGCACCTGTGGTGGAAGATAACCCAGGGATCTCATCTAGCTGGGTCTAATTACACCTTGTGTGGATTTTTGGAATGGCATGTGGAACTTTTTGTAGTACAGGCCCCGGGAACAGGGGGGAGTCCAGAGAAAGAATCTTAAATACAAATGGATCTCAGCCCCAGGACTTTGGGCAAGCTATTCAGTCTGGGACACTTGTCTTATCTCTAAGATGAGCACAGTAATCTCTACCTTGACTTAAGAGCGCCTTGCGTGAGGCATAGTACATGATCAGTGCTCAGTGGAGCTTGTGAGCTGCCCCTTCCTTCATGCTGCTATCATGAGTGTGAACTGGCTTTTTGCACTGGGGCATATAGCCCAGTAGAAATGGAATAGGGGATACATGGATCTTCTCTGCAGGTACATGGTCGTTTGCCCTCTGTGGACTTTTGTTTCCCTGTCAGTTCTTGACATGACCTTCAACATTTCCTTTGACTCTCAAAGATGATTGTATTGAACTATGTTCTAAATGTCCTGAGAAAGATGATGATGATTAAAAAAACACACCTCAAATCTATGTCTCTGTGGATTTGATGTGCTAGGAATTGTTCTCATCCTTTTCAAAGCTAACTAGTTCAATTCATGCTAACTTTAATGATATAACCATCTTAAAAGGTAAATAAATGGAGACCCAGTCAGAGGTGGAAGTATTTGCTGAAAGGTCATGCTGACAACAAATTCCAAAGCTGGGTTAGGGTTTAGTCCTTCTGCCCCAATTTGTTTTTTGTAGTTAACATGTCTCTGAGCTTGAATCCCTTGCTTAGCAACTTTATTTCCAATATTCCCATAACTACTAGAAATACTGTTGTTCCCCACAATAAAGAAGGCCAAGGTAGACATACGTACAGGCTCGCTGATGTAAAGGTAGAAACGCCTTTTCTTTTGGGATCTGTTGAGAAAGAAAGATATAGGTCAGGCTACCTGTCACCTTCTGACCCCAGCCCCACAAAGCTGCCCATAGCATACCCATAGCACAGCTGTCACCTATCCTGGAGCCTCCCTCCTCCGTGGGAGAAATGCAATGAAAATATTTTGCTTTGTGGGAATCTTGCACTCAACTCTTAATGTTCTTCTTTCAGAACTCCTACTGGCCTTTCTCTTATGCTTATCTCAAAATCTCACCTTTGTAGTTCTTTATCAAAAGCTTTTCCTGTTCTGTTCTAGGAGGCTTCAGCATTTTGTCATTGCTTCTGCTGTTTGAACAAATAAGGGCAACTGATTTATTTTTTTCCCCATCCTGATTTGAAAGTTGGAACAACTCATGAAAAAAATGATACACAAAAAGAAATAGTGGCCTTATTCTCCTTCCCATCAGCCTCATCCATTTTTTTTCTTGTTTCCATGCAACCTAGGTTTGTGGTTATAATCCTAGTTTCCCTGCAATTCAAGTGTGTGGTCATTTCAGATCCTACGTAATAGTGGCTTTCAACTCAGGCCAGGTAATTCCTGGTGCCTTATCACTTTGGGATAAGCCTCTGGTCTGGTAAGGTAGAAGATAAGTATTAGCAGTTTCACCCATGAGGACAGTGGAGCAAATCCCAAAGTTCAGAGAACAGAGGCTTAGCCCAGAAGTGGGAGTATCCAGGGAAATTTCCCTATACTGAATATCATTGGTCTTACAGATATTAGCTGGGTGATAAAAAGAGGTAATGACCATTCCACAAAAGGCCCACAGCTTGTGCAAGAGTAAGGAAGCCTGGAAGAACAAGAGGAAAACTGTACATTATGTACGGTAACACGGTTGGACAATCTAAACCTAATTGCTGAATACTTGCTTAACCATTCTGTACGGTAACACGGTTGGACAATCATCTAAACCTAATTGCTGAATACTTGCTTAACATCAGCGACTTTGCTGACTTTTTTTTTTTTTTTTGAGGAAGGGTGGAGAAGCAGTCCAGAAATAATGATCCTCATTGGCTGTTCCAGCTACTTCAAAGCAGGGCCAGCACCACCTTCTTTATTATTTTGTTTATTAATCAGATTTTGTCATGGGAGCTTAAAGATACTAAGCTGCTGTAGAAGGTTAAAGTGAAATAGAAGACCTGGGATCTGAACCTTTGGACCAAGTATAGTTCCTGGATGTATCAGGAGATCCTTAAACATTAACAAAAGGAGCGCAGCAGATGAATGAACATGAGGAAAGATGGTCTTGAGATTTCCTGGTATTTCCCCAGAAAAACCCCTGGAGTCCGTTTTAACTAATGACCCATTTAGCCTTTCTCTTCTCATGTTCTCTAGTCAGTTGCTATATCTTTTCATAAACAGGAGGCCAGATTCATTTCTAGCTGTCATAAATCCTACAATTGCCAGGGTATAAACGTTTCACAGCCCATAACATCCTCTGGCACTTTGAAGAGAAACATGCAGACATCTGCCTCTTTGTCTCTTCCTTTTGCTTCTCCCTGTGGACGAATTCTACCTGCATATATTTGATTCCCAGGTCATTTTATTTCATTGTCTTTTGAGATGTCCTGGATTTTCCATGCTACATTGAGTCTGGCATGGGGAAGAGCAAATCCCAACTCTGTTATTTCCCAACACTCTGATCCTGACCTATCAGTTAAACCCCTCCCAGGACTCCAGAAGTCCCCCCCCCCCCACAGAAAGTGGTGGTCCAATTCATTTCCTTCTTTCTTTTGGGAGTAATAACTTATGGAATGTATTGTTAGCACATTCCTCTCTTTGGTCTTAGAACTTCAGTTGTAAACCAAAGCCTTCCTTTTATTTCTGTTCAATAGACAACAACAGGTTGTAGGATTACTTGGGGTGTTTTGAGTGGTCTCCCTATTTTTGAAAACATCTCCCGCCCTCCCTCCCCCCTCCCCACCACGTACCCTGTGGTTTGCTTCTGGATGCTGGATAAAAGGGTGTAGGAAATAGAACTGCCCTTTCCTATTGCAGTTTGCTGCTGCTATATTTCACAAAGGAGGCTGGCAGGGGAGGAGCCTTGGGATAGCCAGTTTGATGCCACAGCTGGACACTGCCAGGTGAGGAGGCAGAAATGTGGTGAGCTTCCATGGTGCTTGGAGATGTGCGGCTAACATTTAACAGGTGAATGAGTGGATCTTGCAGTGACCAGATGTAGCCTGCAGCTGTGGACATCTGGAGTTCCCCCCCCGCCCCACTTCTCAGCTCACTGGCCCTTCCTGGCTTTGCATTTCCAGTGTACCTGCTCTGTGGTTGGCCTCCCTGTCCTTTGCTCACAGCTGGACCAGGGCAGGAGCTAGCTTCTCTTCCAGGTGTATGGGGTTTCCTGAGGTTACAGCAGGGGCAGCTCCACTGAGAAGTCAACGTTCTACAGTGTACACTGAATGCTGTCATCTAGGCTTTCTTTCTGTTTCTAGAAAACCTTGGAAAAGGATTATTGCTATTGTCTTTCTTCCAAAAGAGGAAACAATTGAGTGAGATAGGAAGGGGCATATCCAAGGAGGAGTGGTTAGAGAAACATTGTCTGTAGATCATCTACCCTTTGACAATAGCTTTCTGAATATCTTGTAGAATTCTTCCTACAGTGCTATAAGCAAAATTCATTTCCTCCTTATTTTTTGTGAACAATGAGTCTAAGGCTCAGAGACATGTGATACCCCTCTCATCCCTTTATCCCTTTCTCCATTCAGAAGACATTTAGCTAGTACCTGTGTACTAGGCACAGGAAGATGTCACTGGGGGAAGGAAAGAGAGCTGGCATTATTTGGCACCTATTATCTGCCACACTTTTCAGGGTTAAATCCTTCTGACTACCCCCAAGAGGTTGGGCAGATGAACATTGTGGTTAGAAAGAACATATAGATTGGGGTTGAATCCCAACATCCTACTCTTTCACTGTGACTTAGGGAAAACTGCTTAACTCATCTGAGCCTCAGTTTCATGATCTCTAAAATGCGAATAATAAGAGCATGTCACTTGCTGTGTGATGTCAAGCATTTGTTGAGATGGTAGATGCCTGTAGCGATACTAACAAACATATGTCAATGTGCCAGGTATCTACTGAGCACTTCATAGGTCTGATTTCATTTACTGTTCTCACAACCATGAACATGGAGAAGTTGAGCCTGCGTGTCTGGTAGATAATAACTGAAGCAGTCACGGCTGTGTTATGGTTGGGCCAAGTCTGTGACTCTGAGGTATGAGCTGGCATCACAATGGGATGTTTCTGGTCTGGGTGGAGACCAGGGGATCTCAGGAGCATGAGGAGGGGGCAGGGAGAAGAAGAGTACAGGGAGCAGAGGCCAGGAGTCCTGCAGGGATTTTCAGGAAGGGATGAAAGTAAGACCAGAGGGAACCAAGAAGTGTGGGAAGATTGTATGCAGACGGTTCTAGAAATCTGACCTGCAAGGAGGGATAAAGTCAGCAGTGGGCTGGGGACTAGTATCACATGCTTGTAATCCTAGCTAACTCAGGAGGCTGAGATGTGAGCATGAGGACTCGGCAGATAAATCCTAGGGATGCTTATCTCCAACTAACCAGCAAAAACCCAGAAAGGGAGGTCTGTCTGACTCAAGTGGTAGTAAAAAGCTGACTGTGAGTGCAAGGCCCTGAGTTCAAGCTCCAGAGGTGGTATCAATAAAATAAATAAACAAAATAGTAGTGATGCAGTCCTGGGCAGGAAGCCCTCCTCTGCAGCCTACGATTGGCTGCACAGAAGGATTAGCATTCTGTGCCAGCCCAGGAGCCACACCCAGTGAAAATGAGAGGCCACCCTTAGAACACTGTAGGCCAGAGTGGCTATAAACCCATGGGAGGGGTCAGTGAAAACACTAAATGGCCTAAAGGATGCCCAGGCCATAGCCAAATGAGATGGGGGTAAAGGATGGATGTTGGGGAAGGGTGGGATTGCAGCAGAAGGGAAAGACTGGAAAGGTGAAGGAGGCACCAAACACCAAGCAGCCCTAAAGTATCCAAACCTGCTCTGGCCTGGCACTGGCAGATTCCAGAGCAGGTGGAGAAGTTGTCCCTGGTGATGTAATTTTCCCTGAGCAGGGAAGTTCCCTGGCCATAATGATGCAATCGCTCCCATTTATAATCTCCACCTCTGCCAGACACCTTGAAGACCTTCTTTCCAATCATCTCCATACATAAACAAGCCAAGGCCCCGGAGGTGAGGTAACATGCTAACAAATGGGCAGGCCAGGATTCAGACTAGGTTTGACCTTTTGACTTACGAGCTTTCCAAGATGCATATCTGCCTGATATTTCCCACAAATCTAAAGAGCCAACACCATTTTACTCTCACTGTATTTTTGTAGTAGTTGTTTTTGTTTGTGGGGCTTGAACTCAGGGCCTGGGTGCTGTCCCTGAGCTCTTTTGTTCAAGGCTAATGCTTTACCACTATGAGCCACAGCTCCACTTCCAATTTTTTGGGTGATTAATTGGAGGTAAGAATCTCAAGGACTTTCATGCCCACGGTGGCTTTTGAACCACAATCCTCAGATCTCAGCCTCCCAAATTGCTAGGATTACAGGGCTGAGCTACTGGTGGTTGGCTCCCACTGTATTTTTATATATGGGTTACACATTTTATAAAAGGAGGATGGGTTTTTCAAGGTCCTATCCCCCTATCTTTCCTTGTATTCTAGCAGCCATATAGCTCTCCTACTTGGAGGCTAGTAGTTACTAACTTCTAAGTTCTTCATTTTTCTTTTTTCTTTTTTGTTAGTCCTAGAACTTGAATTCAGGGCCTGAGCATGCTCCCTAAGCTTCTTTTGCTTACGTCTAGTGCCCTACCACTTGAGCCACAGTACCACTTATACATCCTGAGTTCTTCCTAAGATTCTCTGTATTAATAAATGCGTTCACATAGGTGACTTTCATAAAATGAAGAGTATGGTAGTATGTATGCTGTGGTGCATTTGGCACTTTCTACTTAACTTGTGCGAGTTGTATCTGCTTGCCTATATAGAAGGGTGATTTATTTGGGCCTTTAAAATCTCCAAGTAGTTGTGATGTTCTTCAAATCTTGGTTTGAGACTTAATAACAAAAATACTTTCTTGGCCAAGTGCTGGTGAGTGACTCACATAATCCTAGCTAATCAGGAGGCTGAGATCTGAGGATGGAAGTCCAAAGCCAGCCTGGGCAGACAAGTCCATGAGACTCTTATTTCCAATTAACCACCAAAAAGCCAGTAGAGCTATAGCTTGACTGATGAGTGCCAGCCCTAAGAGGAAAATCTGGGTGTATGAGGCCCCAAATTCAAGTGCACGCCCCCCCCCCACACACTCAAAAGTACTTGTTTGCCTACTACCTTTGTTGGCAGATAATTTTGTTTTTAAGTATATTTCTGCAATATGAGCATGCTGGGTTTTCTCTCTAATCTTCATTCCTCTTTAGAAAGATATGGGCAACTCTAAATATCCCTGAGCCAGGAGTCCTGGGTGAGAAACTCTGAGGTGAACAGATTTGGTATGGGAAGTAACTTGTTGGGGGGCTGGCTGGAGGATGTACTGATGATCATTATGGCTGCCTTCCTCCAGGATGTTAGGAAGTCATGTGACTGGCTAGAACTAGCAAGGCACGAACCTGCCCAGAGCAGGTGGTCAGGCTTCAAGTCTTGGCTCTGTCACTGACTAGAGATACAGGCTTGGATAGATCTCTTCATGCTCCCTGCCTCCATTTCCCTCTTCATAAAACAAGGGATGATAGGCTAGATAACCTTCAAAGGCCTTGTTATACTTCCAATGGCCTGTTGTTTGGTGGTTTTTAGCTCTACTGAGTTTCTTAACCTAGATCTTGTGCACAGCCTTCTATCATAATTACTTTTGCCTCCTCTGGAAAACCTTCCCTGGATTGCCTTCACCCCTGTGGTTAGACTAGGAGAGCATCTAGAATTCCATAGCACCTCTCTGTTGGGTAATTTATTTCCTTATTCGTCTTATGTAACAGACTGGAAGCTCCTCAGAGCCCAGGATCATTTCCTCAGTAGTGATGACTGAGTGAGTGATCACATTCCAAGAGCTGTGGCAGATATTCTAGATACCTGAGATACCCCTGTACATGCCTTATGGAGTCGTCAGAGTAGAAAAGGGAATGGGCTCAAAGACACATAGCTAGGGGCTAAGTTTCAAATCCAGGTATCTGAGACATCCTCTGGCCTGGTTTTCGTTCTCATTGAGTCTGCTCAATGAGATCAGAGGCTGATAGGGGAGAATGGGAAGTGTTCCTTGCCTGGTTCTACATGTTCCCTGCTGCTTTGCAGTGATGGCCTTTCTTTACCCAGCCCTCCAATCCTTCAACTGGGCCCTCTTCTAGGCTCTCATTGTCCTGTCATGCCCAGAGATGGCACACTGCTGGCTTCCCACTGCTGTCCTCTGATGCTTCTAGTCCTCTTAGCTCCCATCAACCTGGGAACCTCTGAAAAGAGGCCCATTCTTTTATCCCCCCATTTAAAAACTTTTCTGTAATCATTCTCCTTCAAACTGTCTTCTTTGAGTGGCCGATGCTTCTTTTCAGGCCCCCATTTACTACATGTATCCTTAGCCTCACACCTACCTTCATCCTTTTCGTCCGTAATTTCATTTAAAAAGCCCCAAACAAGCCTCTCTGGCTACTTCCAGGGAGACTAGTTTCCAAAAGTAGTGAGGGGTCAACTGAGGGGAAGGCTTTGAGATGTGGAGTTGAGCACTTGACACCTTTCTTCCCTGAATTCCTGCCTATCAAGAGCCTCTGCCTGCAACTTGCTTCCCTTGATTGTGTATTGTCTAGTGGCCTAGGGATTGTGGATATTGTCTTGGGGATGAGACCAATTGTGCTCTGGGATTCTCTCCAGAGCCCAGGGAAACACAGATCCTGGGGGGGGGGGTCACTCGCTGCCTCATTCCAGAACAGCTGTCCCCTATGAGCTGGAGAGAGACCTAGGGCAGTCATTATCCAGGCACTTGTTGGTTGGGTTTCCATAGGAACCAGGCTGGGAAGGGTCCTGGGGTCACAGCCTGCTATCTCAGGCCCAGAGCTTCACCTTCAACAGGAACAGACTTTCCGGGTTGTAGACATATTTCTGCATTTTATAAGCCGTGGCCTGTGGCCAAGATCTCTGCTAACTGAGTCACATCGTGTTTGTTGACCCCAGTGGGGTGGCGGGCGGGTGTTACACATTAGCCACAGTGGCTTTCAGCTTGGGGCTGAACAAGATTGCTGAGAGATAGGTTTCCAATTAAACCAAATATTTTCTCCTATAGAATTGAATTCTTAAAACTTAACTGAAATCAGACTTCTGCAGGAACATTCTCTCCCCCCCATCCCCCCCAAAGGACATGACTTAAATGACTTAAAATAATATTCTTTAGGCTTTTGGGTATTTTCTGAATCACAAGTCCTGAATGACAAGTTTTCTGCTGATACCTGTGTTGTCTCGCTCATCACTGTTGTTTGCCAAGAGCTCTACACTCTTATTTGTGGCCCATTTTGCTCCTGGACCCCATAAGATTTTGGAGTCAAACAGAAGGTTCTTCGTTGAACACCAAGTAATAACATTTCCACGCCCCAGACACAGAGTTGTTTAAATGAATCAGAGGACACATGTGCTGTCGGAAGATGGTCACGTGTGTCCTCATGCTGCCCTTCATTCATTAACACAACCATAAAAATCACAACACATTGTGGAAACTTACAACAATCTCATCTTATTACGCATAATACAGAATAATAGACCCCCCGCCCCCGACTGTTCATCGTTGTCATTTCTAAGGACTTAGGAGCAATATTTTTCTCGGATTTCCTTATCTGTGATTTCTAATTTTTCAATGATTATGTATTTAAAAGCTGCTTCTCTTTTTTTTTTAAAGAAAAGAAATGTACCTAACTTATCATTATGGAAAGATTGTAAATTCTTTTTTGAAAAGGAGCTCCCATTTAAATGGAAGAAGGGAGCATTCCTTTCTTCTGGAAATCCTGAGGAGACCTTCTAGTTCTGTTAGTCCTCTGCCAGACCATACAAAGAACATGTTCTATGCCAGCTCTTCACTTTGTCCACAGCAAGAGCAGTGGCCGCAGCTGGCCCAAGGCTTCGGATTCCCTGGGCAGTAGTGAGGTTGCTTACCTGGTCCAGAATGCAGTCCTCTCCTTGGGCCCAGAGCTGGCCCACGAGCAGGTAGATGGTGAGTCCTGTGAGAATGGGAAGCAAGAGCAGGCAGCAGGTGAGAGTCCAGGGCCGCCTGTGGCTCCTGGCTTCTAGCCCGGCTCTGCTGCCACTGCTGCCTCCGCCTCCAGGCAGCATGTCCACACTGGCTGATTCTTCAAAGCCCAGTCCCAACTCCTCAGCCATGCTCTTGCTCAGCTGGAGCTGCATCTGAGTCTTCCTGGCCAGAGACCCCCCCATTAAATAGAAGAGCAGTCCGCAGTTCTCACCCTGGATGAGTTAATCACTGGGCCTTCTCCTCCCCTTTCCTCACCAAACCCTCCCCCTGGAGAGTCCTGTACAGCTGGCCCAGCCCTGCTAGGGAATGCACCGCCCACAACAGAAACCAAGCTTGGCTTAAGAAAAAAAAAAAAAAGAAGAAGAAGGAGAAGGAGAAAGCTTTCTCAAGCATATTTATATACAGTATGCTCATGTGCCTCATCCTTCATTTTCAGAAGGAAGTTAGGAAAGTCCCTGGAGGAGGAGAAAAAGAATTCATCAAGTCAGTGGGCGGGGCAAAGTAAAACCAACCTGCTCCCTGCCCCTGGAGGCCGGCCAGCTGTGGCAGTCTCAGGAGGGTGTGCAAGGATGCTTCTGGAAGTGAAAGTGAGGGATGGGGAGGCGGGAGGCGTGTGGCTTGCAGACAGGAAATGGAAGTCACGTTTGCACCAGCCCTTGGTAGAGTGCTGCCACCACACCATGCCTTCTGTCTTTCCTTTTTCTTTTTCTTTTTGGTACTAGTACTAGGACTTGAACCTAATTTGATCACTCAAGGCTGGCATTTTACTACTTGAACTCCACTTCCAGCTTTTTCATTGTTCATTGGACACAGACTCAGGACTTTACTGCCTGGGCTGGCTTGGAACAGGGATCCCTCAGATCCCAGCCTCCTGAGTAACTAGGCTTATAGGTGTGAGCCACTGGCGCTGGCCCTTCTCTGGCTTTTTCCGTCTGATAGCAACTCATTCTCATTTTGCAGATGGGGAATGAGAATGCTGGCATTCTGGAAAGATGAAGGTGGAGATTAGGGCAGAGGAATTAGGAAGTACATCTAGCCCTCCCAAGTCATAGTTTAGAGTTCTGCCTTCTACCACACAGGAAAAGGTATTTCTAGTTTGTGCTTTCCATGGTGCAAGCAGAAAGCATGAGGTCATAGCTAGAGGTGATTATTGATGAGAGCAGGGCATTGACTCCTACGCCTGATCAATCTCAAGGTAATTGCGTATCAACTAACTTTGTCACCAGACAGGCCTTCCTTGTAACATGGCCGGTGCATGGATGAGCGCCACGGCAGGTTATAAAGTGTGAATTAATTAAGCTCTTAGTTGCATCAGCAGGCACTGTTCTGAGTCAAAAATGTTTCAGTGGCATTATTCAATGCTGAGACAATCCTTTGAGGACTCATGCTATCATCTCCAGTTTATAGATCGGGCAAGCAAAACATAGAGAATAAGTAGTGAGGATGGGATTGGCACTATGAGTGCAAGTCTTGGTGTAAACACAGATCTACTTGTATTCTACCTGGAGAAGCTAATCTTCTCTAGTAAGGGTGTTAGTGTGGAGAAAGAGGGGGGCATTTGGAACTTCTGGCTCTAGAGATCAAGAGGGGTCTCCCCATAGGAGAGAGAATCCTAAATCTTTGCCATTGAAACTCAATATTTCTTTTCTTTTTTGTCAGTCGTGGGTCTTGAACTCAGGGCCTGAGCTCTTTTGCTCAAGACTAGTACTCTATCTACCACTTTGAGTTGCAACTCTGCTTCTGGTTTTCCAGTGGATAATTGGAGGTAAGAGTCTCACGGGGACTTTTCTGCCCAGGCTAGCTTTGAACTGTGATTCTCAGATCTCAGCCTCCTGAATATCTAGGATTACAGGCATGGACCACTGGTGCTTGGCCTGAAATTTAGTGTTGTACAATGGTATATGGATATATCATAGATTAATCATTTATGAATTGGGGGACTTTGATTTATCTTTGAATAAGGCTTTTAAGAACATTCATAAACAAGTCGGTGCAAACATATTTTTATTTCTATAACATAAAAGCCCCAATATGACAGTGTGTAGGCAAGTGTTGTACTCTGTTCCAGAAGGCTTGCATCATTTTACTCTCAGTAGCAATGCATTAAATATGCTACAACCTCTTCTCTAGCAGTTGGTCATTGTATTTACTACTACTACTACTGTTGTTGTTGTTATTTGCCTATTTGGGATTAAATTCAGGGCCTGATACTTGCTAGGAAAGTGCTCTTTCATTTGAGTCACATACTCCATCCTTTTGCTTTTAGTTTGTGTGTTTAGGTAGGGTCATGCTTTTGTACACAATCCTCTTTCCCCTGCCTACTGAGTATCTGGGATTATAGCTGTGAACCATTACACCTGGTCCTCTTACTTTTAATCTGAGCCATTTTTGTAGTAGTATCTGTAATGTCTCACTGTGGTTTTAATTTGAGTCTACCTAATGGCTAAACATATTTGACATCTTTTTATGTGGCTATTTGCCATCTATATGTTCTCTTTGGTAGGAAAGACATAGATATTGGTTGCTACGAGTACTTCTTCCTTCCTTCTGGGTTTTTGATGGATTCAAAAACAGAAGGTAAACAACCTGCAGGCAAATAATGAGTTACTGCACTTGAGTGAATATTATGTGTAAGAAAGTATTCAAGGCATTGAGGATAAAAGAATGAAAAAAATAGACAAGACTGTTTTCATTAGACACAGAGTAGAATATGTTCTTAGGTTTCCCAGTAGGTGCCTAGAACCACAGATAACCCTATTGATAACCTTAAGAGGTGGAGGCATGGCTCAAAGTGGTACAATACCTGCCTGGCAAACACAAGGCCTTGAACTCAAATACCACTAACACCAAAAGAAATTCTTTCATTTACAATGCTGGTTGTGATAGATCACATTATGACGAACTTACTGTAAGTTTACAAACACGATAGCTTAGCAACACCATATAAACACCCCAATATAGCTTAGCAACACCATACATACTGTAGAGTTCTAGATGTTTACCTAGGTGATCCAGTAGCTTCCTCAGGCTGCAACCCAGTCGCTGCCCAGCAGAACTGGAGAGTATCATACTATATAACTAGGTTTTTTTTCTGATTTTGAAAATGTCTTATTAGAATACATTAGTTATACAAGGGAAAATTTTGTTCTAATAGTCCCATAATGTTCTCAGATCAGACTCACTTCCTCTGTCTCCTTCCCTCCCTCTTCCTCCTCCTTCAAACAATTTCAACAGGTTTCATTGTTCTACATTCATACAAGCATCCAAAGTACTTCAACTATATGCATTTACTGTCCTTGTTGGCCTTTCCTTTCCTGTTGGTGCCCACCTCCCTAATGTAGCCTGTTTTACTTTCCCATGATTTTTTAAGTGTACAATAATGATATAAATGATTTGCTATGGCAATGCACATGTCCATATATATGTTGGTTAGACTAATTCATCTATTACTCTCTTTTTTCCATAAGCCAAAGCCTTACTATTATTCAATACTTTCACTTAGTTTCTGTAAGCTGCCTTCATGCTTAGAAACTATGAACTGTAAAATGTTTTGTGGGCACTGAGGTTACTCAGGGTTATACACTTACTCATCATGTTTTCTCAACTGGTGATCAGCCCATCGAATAATGACTCCAGTCCAGCTTCTTGCTGGTTATTTTAGAGACAGGTATAGCTGACATTTTCACCCAAGTTGTGGCTCCAACTGTGATATATACTATATGTTGCTACCTGGGGAAAGATCAAAATTAAAAAAAAAACACAACTTTATTGAGTGTGCATTGCTTTTCTGTAATGGTGAGGTTGAAAACCTTTCAGTCAGATCATCTGAAATGGGTGATCTCCTGTCAGTACTACTATTCTTTTCTGGTATATTTTGATGGTAAAGTTTAATTTATAAATGAGTCAAGTAAGAGATTCATAATAATAAGGGGTACAGTAGACCTTTGGTGTCCATGTATATGTCTGTGATTCCAAGGAGACCAACATCTAGGAAAATCCACGAGGGCTCAGGATGAAGAGAGCTCCATATTCTAAAAATGCTCTGATTTACCTATACCTTCCAGATAGCAGGTTTTAGAAATGCAATTCAGAAATAAAGTCTCCAATTGTGGCATCGTTCATATGTGAGGATACTATTTTCATGGTGTCCCTCACACAGCACACTAACACACTTGGTGGAATATGGTGATCTCAGTGGGTCTGAAGCAGCTCCCAGTGGTCAAAAACAGAAGTACTCTATAGCCCATAAGAATGAAGTGATGCATACATAGCATTGCAAACAATACACGCTTTCAGGTTACCTTTGCTACCAAGTGAGTTACAGAGGCTTTTTATTTTTAGAGTGATTTGGATTATGTTACTAAGATCATAATTATTGTTTTTTATTGTGTGCGTGGTTATCTGGGACATTGAACTAAGCATATTGAAGATCAGTTGAAGCTTGTGCTAATGTTATTCAAAGATAAATCATGTAACTCCAGAGATAGAAAATCTCTGTTTCTCAAAGACCCAGGCAAGACCTGGAAAACAACTTGAATATCTCTGGGGATGTTTTTTGGAGGATATTCAGAGATTGGAGTGGTGATTGGAATGGATGCCTTTTATAGCTTTGAATCTCTCTGAGACATGGCTATTCTTAGTCACTTCTACTCTTCAGGCCTCCTTCTATCTGTAACATAAACACCGGACTTGAACTTGGTCCTTGCTAAAGATGTATTAATATTTCCAGGGTATCTATGTTTCCCTGTCTTCTTTTTGCCCACAGCTATTTCTGCATGTCTTTCCTTATATCCTTGGTTTTTTTTTTTTTTTTTGCCAGTCCTGGGGCTTGAACTCAGGGCCTGGGCACTGTCCCTGAGCTTCTACCACTTGAACCACAGAACCACTGTTTATGTGGTACTGAGGAATCAAACCCAGGGCTTCATGCATACTAGGCAAGCACACTACCACTAAGCCACGCTCCCAGCCCCCTTATATCCTTGTTTGCAGAGGTCCTCCTGTCCTCCAGGCAAATACCACAGCCAGCCCTCCTTGATGTGCAATGATGGATCAATTAGCCTGGACAATTGAAAGGGCCAGTAGATGTTTTTTTTTTCTCCCTGTTGTTTCTGGAATCGAGAAAAGTCTTTCCAGCAATTACTTCTTAATACTGAATATTTGGACTTGTGTCATATTCCAGACT